CAAGGGGCGTTACGGGGAGAAGCCCTACGGGGAGTCGCAGCTGAAGCCGTGAAAAAGACACCAGGTCATAGATAGTCATACGAGCTCAATGGGCAGGCAGGAATTAAAAAAAAAAAAGTGAAAAAAACAGAAAGATGAAAAGCAGACTGGATCATCCACAGAAGATCAACATTCGCAGCAGCATTTTAAGCTATAACCAGCCCGAAGGCAAGAATGGCACAGAAACGGGCCCAACAGGAGAGAAGAGGAGCCAAACACGAGGTCGAACACTTGAATGAAAAGAAGTTCACCGGTCCCATATACATTCCCTCGCCTACACCGCTTCTCGTGCCCCTCCGGTTTTCTTACTCGTTGCCGCCACAAAGTGGCCTGCGGCCGTAGTGACACGCGTTTGCAAAAAAAAATAAACCATCTCTATTCCACAGCTAAAATAAAAGTTCCTTTTTCAGGCGATCTTCCTCCTAGTGCGAGTCAGAGAGGCCCGCAAGTCACCAGTGTCTCCGGGCTTTTTAATACATGGGGGAATACGAGAGTACGAAACGGATCACGCGCAAGAGCTAGATAGAAACCCCGTTAGCAAGATACGACGTGATCTCTGGATGATAAGCACATACCTTAGAAGCACTTGCGGTGGACGATCGAGGGACCGCTCTCGTCGTACTCCTGCTTGGAGATCCACATCTGCTGGAAGGTGGACAGGGAGGCCAGGATGGAACCACCGATCCAGACGGAGTACTTGCGCTCGGGAGGAGCAATGATCTTGACCTTCATGGAAGAAGGAGCAAGAGCAGTGATCTCCTTCTGCATACGGTCGGAGATACCGGGGTACATGGTAGTACCACCAGACTAGAGGTGGGTTAGTGATCAGGCCACTCCGTGTTCATCAAGGGGCCGAGGAAAAAACATACCATGACAATGTTGCCGTACAGATCCTTACGGACATCAACATCACACTTCATGATGGAGTTGAAGGTGGTCTCGTGGATACCACCGCTCTCCAGACCCAGGACGCTAGGAGCGAACAGAGCCTCAGGAGCACGGAAACGCTCGTTGCCGATGGTGATGACCTGACCGTCGGGAAGCTCGTAGGACTTCTCGAGGCTGGAGCTCTGGGAAGCGGTCTGGATCTCCTGCTCGAAGTCGAGAGCGACGTAGCAGAGCTTCTCCTTGATGTCACGGACAATTTCACGCTCAGCGGTAGTGGAGAAAGTGTAACCACGCTCGGCCAGGATCTTCATGAGGTAATCCGTCAGGTCACGACCAGCCATGTCGACACGGGAGATGGCGTGGGGAAGGGCGAAACCCTCGTAGATGGGGACAACGTGGGTGACACCGTCACCAGAGTCCAGAACGATACCGGTGGTACGACCGGAGGCGTACAGGGACAGGACGGCCTGGATGGAGACGTAGAAGGCGGGGGCGTTGAAGGTCTCGAAGACGATCTGGGTCATCTTCTCACGGTTGGACTTGGGGTTGATGGGGGCTTCGGTCAAGAGGACGGGGTGCTCCTCAGGAGCGACACGGAGTTCATTGTAGAAGGTGTGGTGCCAGATCTTCTCCATGTCATCCCAGTTCGTGACGACACCGTGCTCAATGGGGTATCTGAGGGTGAGGATACCACGCTTGGACTGTGCCTCATCACCGACGTAGGAGTCCTTCTGACCCATACCAATCATGATACTGCGGGCGGCATTAGATAAAACCGATCACCCAGCCTAACAGGCCAACTTGGGGGAAACAAAGGGGAGCTTTACCCATGGTGACGGGGACGACCGACAATGGAGGCTGTACCGCAAGTTAGTTGACTATTCGAACCGGTGCTAACATGACGGGTAATTCACCGCCCCCACATAAGCTAGCAACCCAGCGCAAGGACGCAATGGGTGGCAATTGCTATGAAGAGTGGGAAGAACCCATCAAGCCAGGAGGAAGGATATCCAGCACAGCGGATATGAGGAGGGGGTTGACTTACGGAAGACGGCACGGGGAGCATCGTCACCGGCGAAACCGGCCTTGCACATACCCGAACTGAGAACACAGAAGTCAGTATAATCGAGCAGACTACAGCCTCGCGTGCCAATCGATCGAGCTGTCCCAGTTTCTTTCCATAAGCGCCAGAGGGAGTAATAGAGCAACGCCCGCGAGAATCCCATTCAAGTTCATCATCGCGACCAAGCCCCAAAAGGGGACGTATGTTTTGCACCATCTCCCCTGGAGCTGGCGAGAAACCACAACAAGCAGGACGAATCCATCGCCAAAATCATCGAGAACCCAAAGTAACATACCCATTGTCAATGACGAGAGCAGCAACTTCCTCTAGATGATGGAAAAATAAGATGTTAGCCAAGTTGTGAAGGTGGGCGTTGAGGGGGGTAACGGAGGGGGGAGGGGGAGTGAGAAGCTTGGGAAGCGAGCAAGACGCAAGGTGGCAGGAAGCCCTTACCTTCCATGGTGACTGTGTGGGATTAAGAATCGGACTACGGAGAATAAGAAAAAGAGACGAAAGAGAGAGAAGATGAAGAAAGAGAAGAGTGAGTTGATGGGGATAGAGATGGGGAGGGAGGAGAGGGAAGTAGTAAAGTCAAGAGAGAGATGGGATGAGTTGAGGTAAGTAGGTTGGAGAGGGAGGAAACGGGGGGAGGAGTGGAAAGTGATGGAGGCCGTCGGGTTAGTAGGGAGTCGGTGGTGGTGGAAAGCAAGAGTGGGTGCGGGTTGGCCTGGTTGGGTTTGGTTCACGTTGGGTTTGGTCTGGTCTGGTTTGGTTTTGTCTGGTCTGGTTTTGGTTCTGGTCAGATTGGCTGTAGGGGGAGGAGGAGAGGGGGGGGGGGGGTTTGGTGAAAGCGATAGTCAGCACATACGAACTTGCTGCTCAGTCTCTAGATAGTACTATATATGATCAATCAATTAGGGGGCAAGAAGTCCAATTTTAATTAATGAAGTCTCCAGCAGGCACCACCTTCCAAGTAACTCCTTCTACAAATACGGAGTCACAAGATGGGAGGGGGGGAAAAGAGAGAAGCCTGAAAGGGGAGGCAATACACACCAGTCAGCGTTCTTCCAACCAGTCTGGAAGGTCCCTTTTTTACGCCAAATACACACTGACTTGCTTAAGGGGGAGGGGGAGTGACTGAACGGGCACGAAAAAGGGAGAGGTTGGACTGGATCAGGCGGGGTGAGGTGGGCCCCAGTCTAGGCTTTTCCGGGTCTAGTCCCGGTATTTCGGCACCGTTGATTGCACCGCCGGGAGCACTAGTGCCGTTTAGTCCGAGTGCTGTCACCGCCACACTTTCACGCCGAGTACCGCTCGTCAGGTAAGCGGGTAATTTATACACTCTGGCGCTAAAGGGGGACCAGAACGTGTACTTGCTGAGCTGAGAAGTGGTACTAATCTGGCTCTGGAGAGAGAGAGAGATAGAGATCTGATGTATGTATCAAGACGACTTAAGAGGGAAAGAAAGGAAGACGTGACAATTGTGATTATGGAAGTATACATTTCCATGGATATGTCCTCTCATTTGTTTATATACACTCAACCTGATGTCAACCTTCCACCATGGTTGCCTCCAGGCAGAATTATTGTGGCCTTCCTACAACTGATCTCTTGTGTTCCCTTACTGTTCCTCTCACCCGGACATTCCGTTGAGGTGGCCCTTTCGACAACTGAGAAGAGCAGCAGGAGGAAGAGCAGGCGAGGGGAATCACGATGGCAAAAACACTTGCGCACCCTCGTGGGGCTGAACCGACCCAGGGTTGCCGCCGTCAATGGCTCAGCCCGAATGTGTACCACAGAACAAGGTTGGAACAATAATCATGTTGGCCGATGATGATGATGATAGTGATGATGATAGCCTACAGCATTAGCTTACCCACGACTGGATAATTATAGCACAGCCCGCCTTGGAGCCGACGGGCCAGGGAACAACCAAGAGCTGAGAATGGACGATGAGCATAGCCCGACCGGTCCAAACTTCAGGCTTCTGGATCCTTCCCCCCCGTTCACTAAAACTGAACCACTTGGTCTATCCGGCTTTTAAGGGGTTCGTACTCTTTTGCCCCTCGTTCGTATCTCCTTAGTCTCTAGCGTGGCCGTTTCTTATCCCTGAATTTGCATCCTTTTTAGTTAATGCAATTGCCTGATCGTCTCTGTGCCCGCTGTTCTCTCTGTACTCCGCCATATCTGTAGTGTCCCTAATTCCACGTCAGGTAGGAATGATCGACTGATGCCCTTCGATTCCGGTCAATTCCTATGCGCTGTCAGATTTCTTTACCGCCGTTTCCCACCGGGCCCTGAAATTGGGGGCTTCAAAGAGGGAAGCCTAGCCAGAACTGATGCCAGCCCCATGGAATGTCAATCGCATAAGGGCCGCGTTGATTCTTCGTAAGCCGATCTTCATTGGCGGTGCAGGCAGTGAAGAATGCATGGTCATCTAACGGTATCCTCGTGCCACGCGCAGAAATGTCTCGGTCGGTGAACAGCAGCCAGAAGGCACTGCATATCGGGCATGTATGACCGCATCGCGGGGTTATCCGAGCATGGCGGGGTACGCTGCAGCGCCGCTGGCTGGTCTTGATTTGACCAAGATAGCAGGCTATACAGAGAAAGTACTAACAGTATGGAGTCTCGGGTAGATACAGTATATGGCTCTGTCAGGTGAAAGTAAATAGGACAGCATTTGTTGTGCCCTTTTCTCGCAGACTGAATGTCAGCGTGCGGTGGAAGGAGGTGGAAGGCCGTCGGAGCCGCATGAACCCTCTCGATTCGTCCAGAACGTCACGCTTTTTCTTTACCTTCATAGACTACCGGCGCATCTTTTTGGACTATCACATCCACCACAATATTTTCTCTATAGAGATATTCTCATAGTGATTGATACAATCTACATAATTTCACTTTTTTACCTGTTCTCCTTCCCAACGACGTCCAGCCTCCTATCAGACAGGTCGCCAACCCCGACACAAATTTTACTCTCCACCACCGAACCATCTCCCACTCCAACACCATGGACCCCAACATGAACAGCCTCCTTAAATGGAGTATCAAAGCCGCTACCGAGGAGCAATCCTCCGGTGAAAACAACAATAACAACAACTCTGGCAACAATGCCCCCGCCGATCCCTCCCGCGGCCTCACGCCGCAGATGCTCTCGACTCTCTTCGGCGGACCCTCCGAAGCCGACCTGATGAAAGCCGCCATGGAAGCCCTTCGCTCCGATGAAGTCGACCTGGAGAACAAGCTTATCGCATTCGATAACTTTGAGCAGCTCATTGAATCGATCGATAACGCAAACAACCTGGAGCCTTTGGGTCTGTGGACCCCTCTGGTCGAGCTTCTTGACCACAAGGAACCGGACATGCGCCGCATGGCGGCGTGGTGCATCGGCACGGCTGTGCAGAACAACGAAAAGGCGCAGGATAAGGTATGTTATCGATGTCTCGCTTGTCCCCTTACCATTTAGAGTCCAAATAAAGCTAACATATACCCCACAATAGCTCATTGTCCTGAACGCTCTTCCGAAGCTCGTCTCCCTTGCCACCGCGGACACCACTCCCGTTGTTCGCAAGAAGGCCGTCTATGCTATTTCCTCGGCGGTCCGCAACTACCAGCCCGCCATGGACGAGGTGACCAAGAGCCTTCCTGAGGGTTACTCTCGTGACAAGATCGACGCCGGAGACATGGATGCCGTCGATGCGCTTATGGACAAGCTCCGTGCTCACAAGGTCGAGGCTTCTGCTTGAAGAGTCAGCCGACATTTGTGACATGTACTGTTGATCGGATGCTGTCGCCTAGCAAGCCTACTTCGTCGTCATCTGGCGAGCACGTGGTGCCCTTGAGAGGCACACGTGCATTGCGCGTATACGCCAGACGTGTTTCCTGATGTGATCCGATATAAAATTACATGGCCGGGCTATGCTAGACTGTCGACTGCCTAGAGCAGGTCGACCGAGCTAGGGCATTGACGATGCTAGCATCAGGGCGACATGCCGTGACAGGCACCCGCCTCAGCTATGAGGCTCAAGCCATACGCCCCCACCTGATCCCAAAATAAAATACAGATCATGGAACATGGTGCATGGCTAGTTAGAGGTACTAGTTACCGTCCTTGGCAGTCCACATGGCTGCCTAGAATTAGATACCCTGCGCTGTTTTGATATGTCTCATGCGCATCATGCCAAGAAATATAAAGACATCGGATATGCTTCGTGACACTACGTACTACTAGTATTTCCTTTCAAGTTACAATTTCAGACAGCTTAAGATAGCGTACTATATTGTTGCCTGAGAATTTCCATTGACCTGATCTTGGCAACGCGTGTCTCTGCTCGGCTCCTGCCGTGTAGTATATCACAACCAACACCGGTGGTGGTTAAATGGATGCCTGTTATCAAGTTCCAGCAAGGAACGTCATTCCACGCTTAAAGAACTACTGGAAAACTTAGATCCGTCGAATGATATCCATAATCATAATTTGTAACAAGCATGCTAAAAACAGAACTACCTAATAACCAAACAAGCACAAATGCAGACCACTCAATGCAGCCATTGCTTTATACAACAACCCGACAACCATCATAAAGAGTAATTGACCTCCATGATTCCATCAAGGAACAAGAAGTAGTAGTAAAGACCGACCACATGAAAGAAGCGCACAATTCATAATACAATAACACGTCGCGGAGTAGTATCGCTTTCATCTCATACCAGCCAATCAATCAATCAATCAATCGATCAGCACCACAACTAGACCATCTCATCTCATATGGGGTATCCATCCATCACAGAGCAAGGTTATAGGTGTAATCGTCTTCTATATTCTGGGAGATCCATAGGACGATGGTGCTGCAATCGCAGAGTTCATTAGTAAATCTGTTCCTGCTTGTGTTTTCCTACGGAATACACACCTCAGCATAACCAGTCCATTTGCAATAACATTCGCAATACCAAAGTAGAGTGTCGGAAGGGGATACCCCTGGACCAGGTATTTGAGTACCATGACCGTCTATATTGCCATGTGTTAGCCTAACCACTCTACTCCGGCGACCCCGATACCCTAATCAACAGATAAGAGGGTAACAAGGGAAGGAATTATATGTAGGTGAATACTGACCACACTCCCAGCCAATCCACCAGCGAGCAACGCAAATCCCAAGAACAGCACAAACCTCGCCTTCCACGCAACCCCACTCCCACTGTAACTGAAGCTATCGGCATGAAGACGCGACTTCTCGATCGAATTGATAACGAGCATTCCCAGCGCGGAGCAGATGCCGGGGATCCAGTCGACGAATTTGACGTGCACGAAGGAGCCGTTACGAGCGCTGTGGGAGAAAGCGGCGGCGTCGATGAGAAAGAAGAAACCCAGGGAGAACTACTGCCATGTGAGTGGTTGTGTTGCTTGATGGTGGTGGTGATGGTGACGATGGGAGCTTACCAGTGCGCCGGAGGTGTACACGCCTGCGTTGCGCACGGCGGAGTTGTTAAGCCATTCGGGCTTGGACCAGCGAAAAAGACGGTTGTTAGAGACGTCCATTTTGCTGGGGGTATATTATCAGTAAAAGTAAGATGTGATTCCGAAGAATGGGGTGTGTGCCAGCACTGAAGATGGTATCACCGTATGGCTGGATCGGCGGGTTGGTTGGAGCTGTTCGGGGCAGCCGGCGATGATGCAGTGCCGGGGCCGGAAAATCACCTGCCCGATCTATGCTCCCTAGTACTATCTATCTACTTCCTGTAGAAGGGAATCCTTCATGCGGTGCTGCTTATTGTAAATAGTACCTTTTGTTTATGAGATACCAAAATTAAATAGGGTAAGGTTCCTTTTTGCAAATATGGCACGTATGTTTGTGCTGTGACGTGGTGGTATACACCTTGGATAAACATTGATAGCTTCCTGGCTTCAAACAATATCGCTGTGCTATATACTTTGTAACTCATCACTCGTTATCTGTACCAGACAGACTTAATTCTCCTCGCAAAACAATTTCAAGAACTCATCGATGTACGTCATTGCTTTCCCCTTCTCCAATAGTGGTGGCTTATTCGGCGAGTCGTTTTCGCCTGAAGACGGCTCTTTCAGATACTTCCGCAGTGCAAAGGTTGATGCGCGATAGGTCGCATGGTACATTGCCTTGAATTCATCTTCATCGGTGTTGGAAAATCCTTCATCATTCGCAGTGACCATATCATGGCTGCCGGTCCCGGTTTGCGGCCTGCTCGAGCTCGCGGAGCGTGCTGTAGCACGGTTGAAGCCGTAAAGCCGCATGCAGGTCAAGATTGTCCGCGTTATCGTGTTTTTGTTCTCCGCAATAATGGTATCGGCATCCTTGGGCGCAGTTGGAGACTCAAGCTTCCCTTCAGACGGCAATTCCGGTGACAATTCTTTTTCTCTTCGTAATGATGACTCCACGAATGGGTTTGGCGTGCCTCTCCAAGAGTTCAGTTCGCGCACGTAGCCCCGTCTGCTGCTAGGCCTCGACTGCTCTGATCGAGCTTCCAGAAGTTTTGTGTTGAGATTTGCTCCGATAGATACAGAGCGGGACCGCTGTGAGGCGATCCGGTCCAATTGGGGAAGGGAAGGCTCCTCTGACTCTCGCTTGACCCGAAGGCCTTGCAGTTGCTGGGACGACTGGGAGAGTGATCGCGCCATTAACTGCGATACAGCCTCGCCTCCCTTCTGCCGTACTCTCTTATGATGCTGCGCCACTGATTCGAAGAGCGTTGCTACACGTCTGCGCTTGGGACTTGGCGAGCGAATGTCCGGAAGGAACTGAGGGAATCGACCGTGGCCATCGGTATCTTGTGGAGATGGGAGAGATTGGGTTTTGGCAATGAGATGTGCAGAGATTGGAGTGGCATATATTCTCAGTTCCTGTCTTATAACTTGAGACGGCTGGTGGTCTAGCTCCGGTGAAGAGACAGGCGGGGTGGGCGGTCGTTCGTAGGATGTCGTGGTTGACAGCATTCCGTGTATCAAGAGATCGGTCGTGTTGGCTTCAGAAGTCTTTGTCCGCCCATCATTGTCAACCCCCACGAGCAGCCCAATTGGGCATTGTAGCGTCTGCAACCGATCCAAGTCATCTTCTTCCAACCAGATAGTGCCCGTCAGCTTGTCCTTCAGCCATTGCGAGGTCTGCGGGCTATTTGTGTGAACTTCGAGATTGGGACCACATCGTGCATAGAGTGGTATGAGGGACGGGTTAACGAAACAGCGAAGGCTGAGCGCGGAGTCTTTGCCAATGTCTGGTTGCCAGTTCGACGACCGGTCAATCAATTGCAGGCCTAGCTTTGGTGATGAGTAGGGCGAATGTAGCCGGGTGGATGGCGAGGCTCACCTTGGAGTTGTGTGCCTCCATCCAGCGATATTGTGCCAGACCATACATTCATGTTAGATGGACGAGGGATAACTCGTTCACATATTACTCGTGTTATAACTGACGATATTGGATCATTGTTGCACGCTCACTCACCAGTCGGCGCGGGTAATTTTACACGACGCGCCCAGGCGGCGCGCACCCACGTGACCGCCATTTAGGCACAATTACAGAGCGGAAGACATCGGCATCTCCAAGCTTTAAGAGAAAGAGGTGGAGGCATGGGTTATACATTTGAATGAAGGAATGTATCACACTGCACTGGCAGAGTTTCTATATAACCTCGTACTGGCTATAGTACATCAATCGTATCATCGAACAACGAGAGTGGAATCAACAGCTAGTTACTCCCGGGGCATCAAAAAACACATCAGTACGCCTAGCATACGTCAAATCAAAACGATGTCTCATAAAGGTGCATTGGTCAAGAACATGGAAGGCGGCTTGCTTCAAAAGGTCGATCAACAATCTGCGAGCGGGTATCCAATGCGAAATCTGGTCTTGCAGATATCGGTGCGCATGGCAATTTAGAAGTCTTCCTGTTCCCGGAAGAACATGGAGAAACTGATGATAGTTCCGTAGAGCAACAGACCGCCAATGATGGACATGATCATGGCGGGGATCTCGATAGCGCCGCTGTGCGCAAGGACGGCGGGGAGGGCTAGTGAAGTGAAAATGGTCAGCGGGGATCAAGAGAGTTGGGAAAGAACAAGGGCATATATATTCAGGCGCAGCACAGTCTGCAGTCGGCTTCAATGGTAGGTAGGGATGATTGCGACCGCCGACCTAGCCCGCCTATCCGAGAAATCCACTCACCAATACCCATCAGCACCAGGAAGCCCGTGAGGAAACGACCAAAATCAGCAGCAGCATTGCCAGAGCTGTCCATAAAATCATCGGGGTTTGCGCATCGCGAGCAGATCCAGTTGGGCAGGGGAGCAACCACGTAAGTCGCAACGACGACCAGTGGGAGGAAGTTGTGCCAGAGCGCCGATGACAGGATAACAAGCAGGAAGCCAATGGCGAGAACCTATGCCGGGATAGCAATTAGCAAGAGCCCCAAACAGCAGAAGCAAATAATCTTCAATATAGCTCCAAAGAAGACATACGAAGGAGAGGGCGATGATCGTCTTGAGTCCGGCGGTCATGATTGCGGAGTAGGACCGTTCAGAGTCCACGACAACAGGCAGAAGTGGGAGGAGCTTCGCACCAACGAAGCTTGACTAGTAAAGCTTGTGGAAAGGATAGCAGAGTCAAAGTAACATGGGTATTAAGACGAGATGGCGACAAGAGGAGCACCGCAAACCGAGGACGGCCAAAGCCTTGGATGAAGCAGGAGATTGGAATGGAATGAATGAATGGGAAGGCAGTGACGTGCAGCGGAAGTGGATGATGGGGCGGGCGGCCTGAGGCAGCGGGCCAGCCAAGCAGTGAGAGCTTAGCCTTAAGCATGAGTTACTCTCAGTACTACCGCGTCAGTGCTTCTCTGCCTGCCCTCCAGCTCCATATCTCTCTCCCATCCACTCCTGCTCCCTACTTCATCGCCTTAATTCCTCTATTTTCCCTGTTGAGACTCAATCTCCTCCTTGGTTTCTTCCATTGAACTGACAGAGACCCCTATTCATCACCCTTCTGAGTCTCTCCTACCCAAGCTTCCGCCATGTTCAGAAACAACTACGACAACGATGCGGTCACCTTGTATGGACCTCCCCCAAGCTCCCTCATCCACTAGAACAAAGTTTTGTTCTCCCGATACTATCAGATTACTAACATAGCTCTCTACAGCTCCCCGCAAGGCCGGATCTTCCAAGTCGAATATGCACAAGAAGCCGTCAAGCAAGGTTCCGTCGTAGTGGGACTCGTCAACAAGACACATGCCGTGCTGGTCGGCCTCAAGGTTCGACATCTCACTTATATCTTGGCACTTTTCTCTCCCCGGGGCACTTTCAGCTGACAGACAAATCTCCAGCGTAATGCCGAAGAGCTGTCCTCGTACCAGAAGAAGATCATCGAAGTCGACTCCCACATGGGCATCGCCATCGCCGGTCTGGCATCGGACGCTCGGGTGCTCTCCAACTTCATGAAGCAGCAGTCGCTCAGCTCCCGCATGACCTACGGCCGTCCGCTCCCTGTCGACCGCATTGTCAGTCAGATCGGCGACCGCGCCCAAACGAACACTCAACATTACGGCAAGCGCCCCTACGGTGTCGGTCTGCTTGTCGCCGGTGTCGACGACTCCGGCCCGCACCTTTTCGAATTTCAACCCTCCGGTATGACCCATGAGATGGTGGCATGCGCCATCGGAGCCCGCTCCCAGATGGCTCGGACCTACCTGGAGCGGAATCTGGACAAGCTGGAGGCCTCGTCGCGCGATGAGCTCATTACGCACGGCCTGCGGGCACTCAAGGAGTCCCTGTCTCAGGACAAGGAGCTGACGGTGGACAACACATCCGTGGGTGTGGTGGGGCTTGCGGGCGAGGGTGCCCCGGGGAAGATCGAGAGCTTCAAGCTGTACGAGGGGCAGCAGCTGGTGCCGCTGCTGGAGGCACTGGAGCAGGCGGATGCGGGCGAGACGAAAGATGAGGAGACGATGGAGGTTGATTCATAGGAGAAGCAAGATGCAACAGATACATCATTGATTTGGTAGTCACGATTCCGGAATAATATCACGTTTCACACACCTGATACCATTATATATATATAACCACACTCGGCTTTCCCACATCTACAACTAACCATCCTACTAACTTACTAGTAGATATGATCGTTTATTCTTCCCCCCAATTCAACCTCATCCTCCCATTACTAACCCTATACCCTTTCAACCGCGGCCAAACATCCTTAATATCATTCACCTCCACCAAGATCCTCCCATTCTCCTCACCAATGTACCCCTCCTGCACCGCCTTCCTCACCCACGCCAACACCCCATCCCAATACCCATCCACATTAACCACCACCACCCCAGCCCCATGAATACCCAACTGATTCCACGTCGTCATCTCCATCACCTCCTCAATCGTCCCGAACCCCCCCGCCAACGCCACAAACCCAGACCCAGGCCCTCCCTCCTGCACCTTCGTCGCCATAAGCCGCTTTCGCGCATGCATATCCGCCACAATCGTGGTCGTCCCGTACTCGGATTCCTTAAACATAGATT